TTGTTATTTGTCATGAAACTTTGGTTAATTGTTTATATATATCTATTGATGCAAGCTCCCTTTCAATTTAATAAATTGTGGGATTTTATTCGTAAAAAAGGATGGCTTTCCCAGTTTGCAGATTAAATTCAAAAGTTTGTACATGCACTTCTCTGGCATGTTTCAGTAAATGTGTAAATTATAACTGACATAACTAACTTTGACAATGACCACATATTTTTAAGTTCAATGTACAAGAAATATACAAGGTAATGCATGTAGACTCGATACTGCTGCAAGGTTATACAGGGTTGTCAATGAAAAAAAAAATAAATTTGTTTGCCAACTTTAGTGTTACTTTCAGAAGGTTTTGGTGTGGTATGACACCCTGTCATTTTTATACGCCCGTTTACGGGACGTACTATGGTATACCGTTGTCCGTCATCAACATATCGGACATTTACTCAAAACCGCTTTAACCAATTTGCATAAAACTTTGGTGAATTGTTTATATCTATTGACATGAGCTCCCTTTCGTTTTTTATAAATTTTAGATTTTACGTTTCTGAGTTATGGGGTTTTATTCATTAAAAAAAGGGGGATTTTCCAGTTTTCGGACAATAAAAGCTTTCACCAACTTGCAAGAAATTGTGGTGAATTGTTTATATCTATTGACATGAGTTCCCTTTCGATTTTTATATATTTTAGATTTTACATTTAACTTTTCTGAGTTGCAGGGTTTTATTTATGATAAGGGGGGATTTTCCAGTTACGGACAAAAATCAAAAATGCTTTCAGCAGTTCGTATGAAACTTTGGTGAATTGTTTATATCTATATTGATGTAAGCTCCGTTTAAAATTTTATAAATTTTACATTTTACATTTCTGAGTTATGGGGTTTTATTCATTAAAAAAGGGGTGATTTTCCAGTTTTGGGCCATATAGCTCAAAAATGCTGTCAGCAATTCTCATGAAACTTAAGTGAATTGTTTATATCTATTGTTGCAAGCTCCCTTTACAGTTTCATAAATTTCTAATATGACTGGGAATTAATTGAACTTTATTTGTTTATAGTCTGACGACAGATTTACTATGTATTGCGCAACAGCACAGTGTATTGCACAACAGCAAGAAATCTTTATTTTCATCACGTTCTAATGAAGTAACAAGCTTATTTTGCCGAAAGTTAGAATGATATGATCTACAATTGAGTAACAAGTACCAGAAGTGATAAAAAAATTGTCTTTATGAAAATAACATGCAACCAACTTTAAAATCAATGCTTTAACCTCCTAAAGAAAATAAATTGTTTACGTCTTTGAATTTCTTTACTTTGAGTTTCAAATGAAAAATTGCTGTTTCATCGACTTGGTAAATGTTGAATATTGCCGATGACGAAAGCGACTGAAAGCGAGTATTGTAAACAACAGGGCGACTAGATTTCGCTTTTGAAGGTCGGTCAAAGCGAAGTGGCGACCGGGAAAGCGACTTTGTTGCCCCAGTAGCATGGTAACGTGAGCCCTGCACAATGCTTATTACTTTAAAACACAGTCCTGTAATATTTTTTATTCTACTTTGAATATTGCCTGCTTATTTCAGCAACTATTCTTGCAAAACAATCCTCTATTTACCCTAGGTGTTGCACTCAGTATTGTTGATTATATTTATATGTATATGTAGTAAAGTGAATGCAACCCCCTTTTTGAAGGTAAGTAACAGTTAACAAACTTTATCACTTATCAGTAGTTTAGAATGGTTTAAAAAAAGATCTAATAGATGTTACATGCATTTTGCCTTCCTCTCAAAAAGTTTGCATGTGTTTTAAAGTGGTTATTTAGCAATGTAAATTTTTCCCTCAGTATTAACATTAATTTGGAAGTAAGTTAAATGATTTCAGTTAACCAAATAATTTGGAAGTAAGTTAAAGGATTTCAGTTAACCAAAATTATTTCACGCCTAATTTATATAAACAAATCCCACGTCGATATATAACATGTACAACAATCAAACATCAACCCACACCAAACTGGATGTAATTGAAAGACATCTAGAGGTCAATATACAGTCTCGGACAAAATGAGGAAAAATATAGCGAATTTTTGAGAAGTATTATTGCACAATATATTTGCAATATTTAAAATGCATAGTTTAAAATCTTTTGAGTTTTAGGTACCATTTTAGGAAACTGGGATTTCATTGCAGCTAGTCTATTAGATAACATTTTATAGTTTTGAATGTTTCTTCATCAGTTAACTAAAATTAGGTGGAGGTATGTTCTTATTTCTGACAGAGGGGTACTCAACCTATATCAATTTGTGCATGAAGCGATTGATAGTTGCTTGATACTGAATAATTTTACCACAAATTTGTGAAAGTTTTAACCGGTGTATATACTTAAAATATGTTAATAAAGTTCATGTCTTTTTCAGGACTTCTGATCCAACCATGTAGTATGGCATGTTTGTGAGATATGGTTTTGGCCAGTAGGATGTTCATGAAGGACCTGTAGTACAAAGTATATCACTGGATTGAGCTCATTGTCTAAGTTTATTATTAAAGTGCTTTGCTTTGAGCTCAGTTCATTGTTATGCAATTCATTCTTTGTGAAATAAAGATTTGACTGACAACTCTCATGTACAAGGAATTGTCAAAGTAGTATCCATTCTATGAACAATGTAAGTAATAGGGAGATAAAAGCATTTTATTTAGATTTGAACCAAACATTTTTTGTCCATTAGCCAAACTAAATAAAAGAAGCACAAATTCACCAAACAATGCTACTGGCGCTACCAGCAATATGATGCTAAGTTCTTTTGTTACACTTTATTATGCCCCAGCCGTATCGGAGGGGGCATTAAGTTTTACCCTTGTCTGTACGTACGTACGTCCCAAAATTGGTTTCCGTTCTCTAACTTTAGTTTGCCTCAACCAAATGTTATGAAAATTGTACACAATGCTTATTACCACAAAACACAGAGCAAGTTTGAATTTTTGTGGCGTCACTTTTACCATTCTAGAGTTATGCCCCTTTACAAATGTAAAATTGCTGAATTTATCATTTCCGTTCTCTAACTTTAGTTTGCCTCAACCAATGTTATGAAACTTATACACAATGCTTATTGCCACAAAACACAGATCCAGTTTGAATTTTGGTTTTGTAACTTTTACCGTTCTAGAGTTATGCCCCTTAAGAAATGGAAAAATTTCAAAATTTTTATTTTCTTCTAAATATCAAGTAATTTTTTAATTGGAGTTATCTTCCTTTGTCCATGATTATAGTTGAATCAGCTACAATCAATGCTTTATACAATGCAATGTTTAATTTTGACTTCCACTGATAAAACACAAATCAAGTTGAATTTGGATAGTGTCACTTTAATCATTATTGAGTTATGCCCTTTATAAATTGAAAGATTGCAAAATTTTTAGTTTCCATTCTGTAACTTAAGTTTGCCCTAACCAAACATTTTGAAACCTATACACAATATTCATTACCACAAAACTAAGATCAAGTACAAATTTTTTGTTTCCGTTTTCTAACTTTAGTTTGCCTCAACCAAATGTTATGAAACTAATACACAATGCTTATTACTACATAATACAGATTAAGTACGAAATTTGGTGGCAACACTTTTACCATTCTTGAGTTATGTCCCTTTGTAAACATAAAAATTGCTGATTTTTTTGTTTCCGTTCTCTAACTTCCAAATGTTATAAAACTTATACACAACCGTTCTAGAGTTATAATTATTTATTGCGTGTTTACAAATAGAAATTGCTGAAATTTTAGTTTCTGTTCTCTACTTAAGTTAGCCTCAACCAAATGTTATGAGACTTGCACACAATGCTTATTACCACAAAACTAGGATCAAGTTCAAATTTGGGTAGCGTCACTTTTACCACTTCAGTTATGTCCCTTTAAAACTATATGATATGCAAGTGGGGGCATCATCTGTGTCCACATGTGGACACTATCCACATTTATTTTTTTTTTTTACATCTGTACTGCCTACTGGTGACTCAGTTCTGAGTATAAATATGGTCATTCAGTATGTTAAGAAGAAGATTAGAATTTATAAGGCCTATCTGGCCTAATTGATTTCTAAAATATATTTCATTGTACATGTTCAACATTTATCATTCATTTGTTTATTTCTTTATTTGTGTGAATTAATTTACTACACTTTCATACCATAACAAAACTGCCTTACTGTATTGGTATCACTTATATTTGTATCCATATAACAAAAAAACTGAAAAGAGAATACTTTTGCAATAGCTTTTTCATATTGAATACTAAAACTTTTTAGATATTTAGACATATTAAGTAGATGCTCATAATATCCACTTGACATTTTATCATATGACTTCTGTAGTTAGTTATGAGTCTTTGAAGCATGCTCACAAAGGTTCTTTTGTTGATATCATTTTCATACTGGTCAAAACTTTTTTTTTTGCTTTGACCAGCTTTGGAGGAGATATTTTCAAAGAATTGATTAAAAATAACACAGAAATTCACTTTCTAGCTCATCTAGCCCCAATCATCATGTCAGGCATTGTCATTACTAAAAAACATTAAATGTCTTCTAAACTGAGAAACAATTTCCACATTTAACCGAAATCTTTTACTTATGATACTGACAATCCCCCACAAAGTAATATAAATAGAACCATACAAATAGTAAGCAAATACATGTTCTCAGATTCCATCTCCCATATAAAAAAAAATCACATTAAGAAAAAAATGAACCTATTATATGTTCCTCTCCTAGCTTCAAAATGTATCCAAAATCAAAGATGTGGAACATATATATTCTATCATAATCATTTGGTAATTAATGCAATTAGTATCTGTTGAACATAAAAAACTAAATATTACATAAACAACACCCCTGATGCTCATGTTGGTTGTCATTGTGCAACACAGTTAATACATAGAAAACATAAAACACAGAACTCCTTTTGTCATATAAAACACTGTCAAACATCCAATCATACTGTCCACACTGATCTGTGTCCACACTTGTATTTAAACACAAAAACACCCACGTGATAAATGAGTAGACTTCTCCGTATATTTTTCAATGCGGCTATGTGGGATGAAAAAATGTAAGAATGAAGTAAAACATGCGTCAAGTTGTAAAAATATTTGATAAATGAAAATATGTAGTAAAAATGTATTAGCAAAAAATACCGATCTCCAGGGTAAATTCAAAAAGTAAAGTGGAAAAATCCATAAAACTGACAACGGAACGAATGGAAAACAGCTGCCATATTACCCGTAACTGGTAAATGTGCCAATATATAATTTTGAATTTTGAATCCATAAAATCCAGTGAAATATTTCCTTGTTATAATAAAGAAAATCATTCAATTACAATATTTTGACTTAAAAAGGAAAAATCAGTAAGCAATATCAAACAAAGACAACTTTGTTCATTTGCATTTCAAAATACTTTATGCAGAAAATATTTTTCTACTTAAAATTGTCAGTCGTAATGCCCATTTAAAATGTAGTTTTTGTCACAATATTTTTATACACTCTACAAAATTTCTTTTAACAATAAGGATATACCGGTGAGTATCAGAGAGTGACACTCATATCTGCAGTTTAATTATATTGCTTATATATATAGCTTTTATTTACTTTTTCAGGGTTGTTGTAAATTTCGAATACCTAATTGATAAACAATAATGCACATGTTCCGTATATAGCTGCACAACAATGTCATAAGGCGTCAAAGCACACAATAAATGTCACATCTTTGTCATACCAGGTCCAGACCAAGATTTACTATGTATCAAATGATGTTCTGATGAATTTGAGATTGGTTCGTTTGTAGAATCATCCTGGAAGAAAAGGAACTATTTAATTTTAAAAATATCAAAATGAATGAAAACGACTTTCATGACTTGTTGATGAAAAGATAAGACATATGTGCCTAAAGTGTGAAAAAAAACCACTCATTACTAATCCAAATTAATAGGGCCATACGTGGTATACAATCTATTGCCAGCAAATGATTTGACAATTATACCTCATATCTCAATATTATGCTATTTAAAAATTCCCCAGAAAGTAGGCGAAAGCAGATAGAGAGACAAACAGCAAACAGTTTAATCATTTATATATCTTATTTTTTCTAGTTATCATCTGAAATAGCTATACATGAAGTTCATATATAAATCATTCATTATCGACATATATACATGTCTTATCATCTTAGTATCATTTTTCATTTGGGTAATTCGGTGTTGAAAACAGAACTTGTATAGTCATCATTTGTATATTCACTACATTTTCAAACTATATTTAAAGATTGACATATTATGAAGACATCCACTTATTGTTGATCTCGAAAAATACTCGAGTACTCGGTTTAAATACTCACGAGTACTCGATAAACTCGGATAATATCGGTAATAAAAGTCTTCATTGTAAAATTCCACGTGTTGCCTCTTTAATTAACCCCATATCATCTTATTATTTAACCGTGTCGTCTAAATTCTAATTGGTTAACAAGGGTTCCTAAGTTAAAGTTGAAGCCATCTCTTCAAAATCATTTTAGACACCAGCATGATCTTGTTGACCTTATGGGCTATCTTTGACAAACATTAGAAAAATAACAAGTTTAATTCAGAAGTCGAGCAGAAACTGTGTACACATCTGGAGCATCTATGTTATATCCTTGCTTGTTTTAAATAGGTTCGTGTTGTTGTTACTTTTTAAAAATCAGGGAAGGACTAAGGCGGCTCACTCGAAGCGCCTCCCTAAACATATATGATGCCTTATCCCCAAACAAGACTTTTTAACGTTTTGATAACAGGAGAAACAAGGAGGGTGTCACTTATGAGCAGGAACTGTTTACCCTTCAGGAGCACCCGAGTTCTCCCACGGGTTTTAGATTAATGTTGTTTAATCTTTACTTTTCCTTGTGCTGTTAAGAGGACACTCTTTTAGTAGCTATTCTTATGACCATGTTCTTGTCGACTTGCGGGTTTTGATTGTCCCCTTGGTATATTGTTCCTGTTTTAAATACATAAAAATAGGAACATTAAGTATGTCTTCCTAGAGAAATCTTAGAACATTTGATTTCTCCTAGTACAATAATTGTATGCAAACTTACCTCATTATCATCAGCTTCATGGCTACCTCCTTCACTAGGATTGGTTGTACTGTATTGCATATGTAAGTCTTGTGCCGAACAGGTACTATGCATTCTACCCTCAGATTTGGAAGACTTCTTCTTCGTTTTCATAATTGTTGGTATTTTCAATCTTGACCAAAGGCTAGGTTTTTCCCCAGAAGATGGTTTCTACAGAAAAATCAAAAATAGAATAAAAATAAAACTGTTGAATCATAAATTTTTAAGTTTTTACTTATCGCACAATTTCGAAAAAGCAATACCAAGAGCGTAAAAATTAACGGAAGACGATGATGATGATATGAATATGTTCAAAAAGTCTAGTTGTTTTCATCAGAATGAGAATATGTTGATGTGATATGAATATAAACCCTTCTTTGTACTATACCGTCACGATAAGTCGAATCTTTAACGTGCCAGTAAACAAAGCAGCTGTCCACAAGAAGACATTTCACTCTACACGGATACATTATCCTGACGACCTGTCTGTAAGCTTACTCCTACATGCCACGTCCGTACCAGAAATGAGCAAGTACCTTCTCTCAAGTCTTTGGTTTGACTCGGTCGGGGATCAATTAAATCCACGACCAGTCGTCCTTGAGACGAGCATGGTACGGTACCAAGAAATCACCAAGAAGTTTAATGAATAGAAATTCAATTATGTGAATGAAGAAAACTAATTCTTTAAAGCACTTACCTTTTCTTTTCCGCTGTTTTCAATTTCTTCTTGGAATTCTGAAAGAATACAGAACATACTTTGCATAAACGAGGTTCTGGATGGGGTTCACAGAATAGACCATAAAGAGCAAAAATTGAAGAAAAAGGAGCCCGAAAAATAAAGTATAAAGAAAAATAGGCAAAAATAATAAAGAAAAGAGAATAACGGGTTACTAAAATATAATGAATAGAGAATAATGGGCAAAATAAATAAAGAATAGAGAAAACTGGTCTAAAAAATTGAAGAATATCGAAATTAAGGACCCCCATCCAGACCCTCATAAACGACATAAGGACTTAACTATAAGATTGATAGATATTTTGCAATCAATCTGATTAAAATAGAGATCCTGTGTCCAAGATTTCCTTACAAGGATCTGAAAACGCTCCGTTCTAATTTCTGTTTTAAAGACTTTTTCGGGATCCTCTGGTTTTGTCGGATTAAAACACACCTTTAAAATTTTGAAGGCTGAAATTTTGTTGGCTGATGTAATAGTTACCAGAACAGAAAGTAAAAAGGAGTGTTGTCAGATCCTTGTAAACAAAGCTTGGACACAGGATTTGTATGTTAATCAGATTGTTTTGCAATGAAATTAATTACATAGGAGACAATATACTTGTTGACAGTGACCAATGACGCTATACTATGATATCTTTCGGTAATAAAAAAAAATGTGCTGCATACACACTAGAGTGTTCCATTATATTTTCCAATGACATCATCACACTTTCGTCCTAAACATACATGGACGTAAAACAAACAACACTCAATTAATCAGAATCATATACTAATGCAAAAAATGCTAGAATTGCTGCTTTCGCGTTGCCACAATAAACGGAAAACAAGCGCTAAGATAAGTTAGTCAGTATTTATACCGTTATGATTTTCGGTTCGATGAATTAAAATAATTGTCAAAGTTGTGTATTCCATAATCAAAATAAATTTAAATTAAACATTTTGCTTAGAACACATGATGCGCCACCGACTTCACCATTATTACTCAAAATAATCCGATATTATATTCCACTGACCTGGTATAGTTGGAAGTTTCTTATCATCGACAATACCGCTATCTTTATTCCTCTGTATATTTCCTAACATATATAATATAATATATATAAATATCATATACATTTATAGAGTATTATTTTCATTTTACACTGATACGTTCTTTGGTGTTTAAAAATTCCTCATATCACCGAAAAGTTCCTAGAAACCAACAATTTTATCATCGAAATACTGCGAATAGTGAGATATTATTTCATATTAAGCATCTAAATAACTATTTTCACTTGCAAGTATAATACATTTTAATTTCAACGGGAAGTTAAATATTTATGCTTTAAAAGAGAGGCGTAAGATACCAAAGGGATATTCAAACTCATAAGTCCAAAACGAACTGACAATGCCATGGCAAGAAACGAAAACGCCGAAAAAGACAACAAAGAAAACTAAAGACCGTAAGATTATGTTTTGCACGTTTTTCTTTACACATGAGAGAATATATGTAAGTAACACAATTTTGTAAAACTATTTTCACTTGCAAGTATAATACATTTTAATTTCAACGGGAAGTTAAATATTTATGCTTTAAAAGAGAGGCGTAAGATACCAAAGGGATATTCAAACTCATAAGTCCAAAACGAACTGACAATGCCATGGCAAGAAACGAAAACGCCGAAAAAGTCAACAAAGAAAACTAAAGACCGTAAGATTATGTTTTGCACGTTTTTCTTTACACATGAGAGAATATATGTAAGTAACACAATTTTGTAAAACACCTCTATTCAGCAAATAAAAAAATTAAAAAAACACAACACAACAACAATGCTAATAATAAAAATATTTGTAATGATAATAATAGTTGTAAAACTTATATTAGAAATTTAAATAGTGAATAATTATACATAAATAAACTAACCTTTCAATGTTTCTACTTTCATGAAACTTCTAATCATTTGAGCGAATTCCGGAAATTCTTTGTTCTGGGCTATTGCCTGTGGGGTCTTTTTGTCCATGTTCATAGCAAAGCAGGCATCCAAACTTTCTGGGAGCTTCAGAAGTTCTGAGCCCAATGTTTTCAAGTTGTACTCCGCTGCGAAATGTAGAAGCGTAGGACAATGGCTAAAATTACAATCTAGAAAACAAAAAATACATGCTAAGAAAGTTGGCTGGTTTGTAAACGGATTTGTTTTTTTAGCTTGTTTAAATTTCATAACTAGATGTTTTGTACATTTATATCTATATCAAAAGATGAATCTCTTAAAGTAGAGTTTTACCAATTAGGTCATTTAGTTATTAATAAAAATTCGGCTAACGTTTGGATACTAAAGTTGGAGTTAATTAACATCTTTTACCTTCAAACGATTTTGGAGCACATTTTCATTAGTATGCACAACAAAAGATGAGTAAAACAATCAGGCAAAGTGAGTCAGTGGAATTAATTGTGGAGTGATATTGCGATATCAAAATAGATCACATGCACGTTTAAAATAGTTTTTCTCTCTCAATATTTTCATTTCTGTGTACATGTTTTTTGTATTCATTATTGTTCTAAATGCGTATAGTTTGTAAAATTAGTTAATGGCTCATCATGAATGCCTTTATGATGAAAATAAAAACGAAATCATAAATTCATGAGTTCCTACACAATTTATTTGACATTGAGGTAGTATTTAATGTTAAATAATTAAATTTTAAATGAAAATACAAATATTTGAAATAGTGTGAAATAGACAATGTTATGTTATAAATTAGGCCGTTAGTTTTCTCAATTGAATTGTTTCATATTTTTCATGTCGGGGCCTTTTATAGCCGACTATACGGTATGGGTTTTCTCATTGTTGAAGGCCGTGCGGTTGCCTATAATTGCTTACATCTACTTCATTTGAACTTTGGCGGATAGTTGTCTCAATACCACATCTCGTTATTTTTTATTAACAATGTTTCTTTAATACAGTAATTTGACTGAATAAACTAAGTGGGATACCTTCATTGATCAGCGGTCTCCAATTTGAATCCTCATTGTCCTTTATCTGTTTATACTGACTGGCAATGTGTTTATCTAAGAGTTCACTATGTGTATCTGTTTCTTCCGTATGAGACAAACCTAGCATCTGGCAAACTAATGGAACCGGATCATTTTCAAAACCTAACGTCTCTCTAATAATGTCTGATTTGGTTGGTATACGCTTAGAATAAGAAACATTGTCAGTTACTTCCACTAATTTTGGAATGCTGCCTGTTCCAATTGTTTCATCATTATCTATAGCAACAAATTGGCAGTCTTCTTCAAATTCTGCGTTTTCTAAAAATACAACAAGCCATCCAGTAAATTGAAACAATACCGAGATGAAGCATAAGTATAAATATAGGTACTGATAAGATAATAACCCAAAAGGAAGTTAGAAATGTGTTGACAAATGAAATTGTTAGCAAAACGAAAACTCCCGCTTACCTCCTCCATAATCACAATCTATGTGGTATTATCTTAATTGCAGAGAACAGTTGATTTTTAATGCTTGAACCTTAATAGTTAAGGTAAATTTCTCTTGTATTTGTTTCATATTTTTGAACGTCGCGTCAAAAGGATTATTGACACAGGTCATTCATATTGACTGTTCATATTGGAAATTCGTCTATTTATGTAGTTCCTGACTTAAGACAGACACAGGAAGGAGTTAAACTATTCTTTAGAGATCTTGACCCTCCTCTTTTCAATCACAAAAGAAAATTCAATTGCTCGCTCATAAAAGAACACACAATAAAAAACTAACGGTAAAAAGATAACAAAATCAAATGGCTCACAGTTGAGGAAAACTGTATTCTACCATTAGCATTTGTTATTTTTTTGCTAATACATTTTGACCCTGTTTTTTTCAAATCGTCATCAAATGAGATTTCCTAAAAGAAAATTCTTAATATTAAAACTGTTAAAACTGATTGAAATAAAACAAACATTTCCAAAGAATTTTTATAATTACGATGTGTATCTGAAATTATGCCATTATGTATTTAAAACAATGGATACTCCCTATTTTACTACTGAACCACGTGGTTAAATACATTGATCAAGAATCAATGGATACTCCCTGTTTTACTACTGAGCCACGTGGTTAAATACATTGATCAAGAATCAATGGATACTCCCTGTTTTACTACTGAACCACGTGGTTAAATACATAGATCAAGAATCAGTAGTAATGGTAAGCAACGAATTTATAAAAATCATTAAGATAATAACTTCTAACCTGGTATTTGTATCTGGTATAAGGCTTTGTCATCGAACACTGCCTTTGTATTGACTAGATCGCGTGAATTGTTTAAGACAATCTCTATCTCATTAGAACCTTTTCTATTGCTTAGTATGAATACCTCCGCAACCTGAAAAGGAAAATGAAATACTAAGTAGGTTCGTACTTAACACTTCCTAATTATTACACGCAATATTAACAATAGACTTTACAAAAAAGTTAAAACTGAGGACTTGTTTTTAAATTTGTCTTCCTGACTACCATTATGTGGGACAAAACGTCAATAACAATATCTATTGCACATCTTCGGAAAAATATAAGTAGAACAAAACATGCTCTACACCCGTTAACACTTTCTAAAAATCCCCTCTCCAATTGATGAGTCATTTAAAAAATCTTCTTAAAAATTCCGTTTACATATCAATTTTTCAATGTGTATTAGATGCTTTATAATACCTTAGTTTTCGTCAGTTCCAAACACAATTTGTACGTCGTGTTGCCTTTTGATATAACTAGAGACTTTAAATAATATTCACATCTTCTACAACTAACTATGAACACAAATCAAAATTGAGAATGGAAACGGGGAATGTGTCAAAGAGACAACATCCCGACCAAAGAGCAGAAAACAGCCCAAGGCCACCAATGGGTCTTCAACACAGCGAGAAAATCTCGCCCCCGGAGGCAGGCTTCAGCTGGCCTCTATAAAAAAATCTGTACTAGTTCAGAGAAAATGGAGTTCATACTAAACTCCAAAACGCATAGACGAACCAAAATAAAAAAAAAAAACATGTACAAGACTAACAAAGGCCAGAGGTTCCTGACTGGGACAGGCGTAAAAATGCGGCGCTGTTAAACTGTATGAATCTCTATGAATCTACTTTTTTTTCATTTTACATAATTCTTTATGATCATGTTGATTCGATTTCATTTTGTACAATGTTTAAAACCAATAAAGTGAAATACGTTAAAAGGAATGAAAGGGGGTATACGTCAATGAGACAGCAAGCAAACGACATAAACTACCAAAAAATACATCTGTTTTATACACACAAATTATAATGAGAGGCTCCTAGGAAAATGTATCGCTCAGCTGGCAAATCAATCCCTGAATTGTTTAAGAGTAGATAACATCCGACAAGTTTAACCTCTGACAACTTTGTTTTCAACATTACCCTTAACATTTAAAAGATTTCGCCATGTATAATAGAGAAAATAGTTGAAATTTAGACAACCAGAATCAAAGACTATTTCTGGCGGCCATGTTTGTTTATCCGATCGGAAACAAAATGATTATTTGTGAAGAACTATTCATATATCATTCCTGCTAATATAAATAAAAATAAGAAGGTGTGGTATGATTGCTAATGAGACAACTATTCACCAGAGACCAAATGACGTAGATGTTAGCGACTCTACGTTGGTTAAAATTGGCCATTTAGTTGCAGAGAAGGCAATGTCCATAAGGTTTCAGTTGGAACTATGTACCAACACTCTCGTATGTTTCCCAATCAGCAAAAGCCTAAACTTACGGAACGTTTCAACTTGCAGGTACAAAGAAGATATTTGAAAATATATCAAACTTACAATCTAGTAACAACTGGCCATGGCAAGCAGTTTCAAAAAACAAAATGAAACTGCCATTTTTATACGTTTTCAATATGTGCTATTGATGCCGCAATGGTTGCCAGCCGATCACCATTAAAAGAGGATCGTTTGTAGAGTGTTTTCTAATCATATATCTCCCAATCTTCCACATATGCACAGATTTCGCATTATAGTTGAATAGAAAAACATTTTTGAAAATTGACCAATTAAAATCAAAGCATCTGTTGGCCATGTTAAACATTCAATCAAAACCAAAAAGACAATTTTTAAAAGAACCATTCAGACATAAATCTTCAAAGATTGATTAAGATATGCAAAGTAGAATAAAAAGAAGAAGAACATTGGATGTAAAGAGAATCAATGGAAATTATTGGCTACCAAAGCCGCCATGTTTATCACTTCATCAACATTCAATGAGAAATATTCTGAGAAGGTTTTTCAATATATAGTTTAAAAAAATTCCGTCTGAGAAGGTGTTTGAAAATTAATCAATCGAGTCAAAGATTATCTGTGGCTGTCTTGTTTTGCCTCTATTTGATCCAAAATAAAAAAAAAAACATTTGTTTTAGACTTTCCATATATCATATTTCCTATTTGTATGAAACAATTGCGTAATAGATTAAGAAAAGATGAGATTTTCCATAGGATTTTAATGGGATCTTTGTGCCACAAATACCCCCATGTTTGCCACACAATCAACACTAAATGAGTCTTCCAACCATCCATTACTCAAAACATTTTGAATTGTAGTTTCAAAGGAGAATATTTGTGAAATTTGGCAAATCAGGATCAAAGATTGACGCTGACGAATATGCATTTTATCCAATACGAACCAAATGTTTGTCATGTATAGATAACATTCCATGCATCAATTCTGTACGGTTTAGTTAAAATTGGACACAAGATTTTAGATAAGAAGAAAATGTGAAAAGTTTACAGACGACGGACGCCAAGTGATCACATAGGTGAACCAAAACAATGAAATCTATCAAAAAAAAAAAAAAAAAAAAAAACACAAATAAATTTAAATGATAATGAATTAATATTAGATGTGACAATGAGAGCATGACATATGCACTCGATATGTGACATTTACATCAATTATTGTAATTGTTTTACAATTTGATCGATCGATGTCGTATCGGTGACGGACGGATTCTAAAAATGATCGAGGACAAATCTTTTCGTTTGCCGTATCACAGAGGCAACATATCTGACTGCCAAATAACAGGTAACCGTTTTCGACCGATTTGTCAATTAATGATTATGATATGCACGAAAATAATTTTTTTGCTAACAACGAATTTTGCTTGCGGCTTTTAATCATATATGTATATGCATGTTTTGTATCACCGCATGTTTTGTACCAGCTTTTCTATGTAATTTTTCATACTTTAAATATCAATATCTAAATTAGTTGGGCTAATGCATTATTATATTCTCAAAACATGCAATATAAGCGCAAATGTTTAAACCGGATATACACAATGAAATCGAATCAACATGACCATAAAATTTTTATGTAAAATGAAAATAAAACGTAGATTTATAGTAAACAATTTTTTTTCAAATTTTTTACTACTTTTATATGGTTGTTTTATTTTGTATTGTAATACATTAAGAATATCGTTGTACTCGTAAGTAAACACATATTCAATTTAAACTTGGAAGAAGGATCACCACCTTCAACATTCTATATCAATACTAACTCAACATATTTACGTATTGTGTTTGTTGCATGCATATTCTTATTTACATATTTTGTTATGTCTTTGAAACATGTTTGTTATTATTAAATATGTACGGATTGGTGAGAATTCTGCATTTAGATTTATTAACCAATAAATGATTTGATTTGATTTGATTGTATTTATGTCCATGCACATCGTCGACTTATGTACTATTTAGCACGCATGACATTAGGAAATTCATAGACAATATAGAAATTTGAAGATATGGTAAGATTGCCAATGACAAAGAAGTAAACAACTATAGGTCAACATACGGTCTCCAACAATGACCAAAACCCATACCGCATGGTCAGCTATAAAAGGCCCCGAAATGACAAATTTAAAACAATTCAAACGAGAAAACCAACTGCCTGATTTGTGTACAAAACAATATTTAACCGTTTCATACCATTTTTAGTATATGCTGGCTAAATCTGTAATCAGCACTTCTTTTTAGAAAAACTTCCCTGGTGTTCTAACTATGCAAAATATTGAAACTATATGCAAACCTTGTTATCTCGGGGACTAATGTCATTTCTTTACATTACATAGTTTATAATTCATTTTTCAGAGATGTAAAACCTCACCATTTCCTATTCAGATCCAGTTGTTTCAATTGAATATCAAAATATTGGCTTTCTCAATATGTAGTGATAATTTTCTTTTACTTAAATCTATATCAAAAAACCAAATCAGCTGGATATGCACAAAAAGTTTATTAAAGGTAGCAAAATAATTCATTTCACATTCTGGATTTAAAATATAATTGAGATTATTAATAAGTTTACTTATACAAATGAATAAAGTCATATTGAATCTGGAAGAGTCAGGAGTGAAAATACGTTTTTGTACTGATAACTGATATTTTTTAACGAATTGATGTATTATAAATGTTATTTATCTTATAATATTTTTTATAGATTATTGCTTCATTCACAATGATCGGCACACATGCCCGTTCTCATAATGGTGATGGTATATAGTCATGTTGAATACACATTTAAGGTAGAATATAACACTATAGGGAGATATCTCTGTAAAAATCAGCTGAACGTTTTAATCACGTTCTATTGTTTAAGAAATATCAAGCTTCTCAATGATCAAAATTATTTGTTTGTCAAACTGCTATATATCCAATGAAATTTTTCCGATAAAGTGTGTGGTTCAAGTTTTTTGAAATTTTTATATTTTTGTCAAAGGATCAAAGTAAATATTTTGTCAAAATTTTATGAAAATCAAATGAGCCAAATAAATCTTAGTCAAGGTGTTTGGTACCACCTTAATTTGAAATCTATATATCTTAACCTTTGCTACCTTATTGGTGTCTCCCAATTTACATGTAACAGTTACTGTTTGTTATAATTTTGTAACAGTTACTGTTTGTTATAATTTTGTAACATAACAGTTACTGTTTGTTATAATTTTGTAACAGTTACTGTTTGTTATAATTTTGTAACAGTTACTGTTTGTAATAATTTTGAAACAGTTACTGTTTGTTATAATTTTGTAACATAACAGTTACTGTTTGTTATAATTTTGTAACAGTTACTGTTTATTATAATTTTGTAACAGTTACTGTTTGTTATGATTTTGTAACAGTTACTGTTAGTTATGATTTTGTAACATAACAGTTACTGTTTATTATAATTTTGTAACAGTTACTGTTCGTTATAGTTTTGTATCAGTTACTGTTTGTTATAATTTTATAAAAGTTACTGTTTGTTATAATTTTGTAACAGTTACTGTTTGTTTTGATTTTGTAACAGTTACTGTTAGTAATAATTTTGTAACAGTTACTGTTTGTTATAACTTTGTAACAGTTACTGTTTGTTATGATTTTGTAACAGTTACTGTTTGTTATGATTTTGTAACAGTTACTGTTTGTTATAATTTTGTAACAGCAGTTGTTAACACTTAACACTCGTTGCCATGGAGTCAGGTTGAGATTTTTATATCTTGTTTGAAATCGGAAAACTCAAGACAAAAAATGAGGAAAAAGCACCACAGGAAAGGCAAAACACTTTTACATTTTTTAGGTGCAATAAAGTTGGTACCGTTTATGTTATTATTTAACCAATTCTTCTAAAAGGATTCTTTTAACCTCAATTTATGATTAAAAAGTAAGTTAGACATTATTGAAATTTCTACCTTGGTGATTGGAGTTCATGTAACCCCCAAAAAACAATTTTGATCATATTATTTTTCAATATAAAATTTTTTAATGTTACCGGACGGTTATTAAGTGTGCAGCTGAGAATGCCGATAATTCGTCTTGAAAATCTGTAACTCACAAGTCTTGCAAGTGAGCACTGTAAGTCCGTATTCAATGTCATCGTTTTTGCTGCAATAGAGAAAATGGGTTTTGCATCTTTTACTCTGTTTGTGATGTTCGGGTTTTTGTGCAACTTTACTGAAGTAATTGTCAAATGCTAAGATCGCCAGCTTGTTTGGATTTGCATCTTCGATCATTTAATTAATCCGCGCCCTCGGCCTTTAAATTTAACCCTTCAGAGGATGCCAAACTACTAGTTTTTGATACCGCTTCAAAATTGTTCAATAATATAAGGGTTTTCAGCATGCTAAATGACTTGCAATAACATTTGTACAAGGCTGGTCATATATATTTGATTAGGCTATGAATCACAAATCATTTCATTCTTATATACCGGTTCAGCTTTTATAATTGAAAAAATATTTTAGTTTGCTGAATTAGTTTCAATAAAATCTTTCCGGTCTGTTCATATAATTAATGGTACAATTATGTACCACGAACTTTTTAAAGGTACCAGAACTATGTATTTTGTATATCGAACAAATATTTTCATTAGAATAAATGAATATCAGCTTTGCTAAATGAATTGCAATGAATACTCTCTTTTCACGAAATGAGGCTAGGGTTTGCACAACAAATCATTCAGATGTAGTAAACAATTCGTTTTCTATAATCGGGATAACATTTACATTTAAATATTAAAATTTTGGCATGATGATTTAGTTGTGTTAAAACATAACCGTTAATGAAATACAACACCAGAACTATACACTTTCTATACCTATTGAATATTTTCAGTATGGAAACTTCAGTTGGTAAAAGAGATGCAGTAACATTTCACCTTTCTGTTCACATGATTACTTTTGAGTTTATTAGAACATTCAATGGAGAGGTACAGTCATTATTTATTTTTTCTAACATTGTTAATATCATATGAAAAACCAGTTGGGATATTTTGCCCGTTGTTGTTTATGTTTTCTAACATTGTTAATATCATATGAAAAACCAGTTGGGATATTTTGCCGGTTGTTGTTTGTTTTCCAACATTGTTAATATCATATGAAAAAACCAGTTGGGATATTTTGCCCGTTGTCGGTTACATTAATCAATTTGGCTTGCTAAGTAATTTACGATAATTTTTTGAACTTTAAATCCAATTGAAAGCAAGGTGAAGTACATAACACCCTTCAAAGTATGCAAAACTGTTGGTTTCTTTTATCTTTAGCTTTACATCATTGGATTTCAAATGTTAGGGTTTTAAAAAAAAACTCATCAAGGATACCAGGCTTATAATTCTGTACTCCAGACGCGCATTAGGTATACAAAAGACTCATCATTGACGCTCGATTCAAAAATGTTAAAAAGTCAAATAAAATACGAAGATGAAGAGCATCGAGGGTGAAAAATTCTGTTTTGACAAATACAGTGAAGGTAATCTATTCCTGATGTAGAAAAATCCCTAGTAGGCGACCAATTTAAAGTTTTGTAAACAATTAATTTATAAATATGACAATATCAATAATAATTTATGCCAACAAAGAAGTGCCGACTATTCGATATACAACAAATCATTCTCACTGATAACATCAAATTTTAAAATATATATGGAAGTGTGGTCCGTTATTTATAAAAACTAATTTGCGACGTAATTTATCCGACCAAATGTCAAGCGTACATATCCATCGTCCCATAGAAATTACGATTTAATTCGTGCCTGATCGATGCCTATTAGATGACTGATCATCAATTGACGGATGACTGATCAGTAACTGATGGCTGACCGCTCATTAACTGATGGCTGATTGATCATTAACTGATGGCTGACTGATCAGTAACTGATGGCTGACTGATCATTAACTGATGGCTGAATAATCGAAAGAATCAACGGGTAGCTAATTAAGTAAAACCAATGAATACGAGAATGAATACTTGGGATTCGTTTATTTTTGTGAGTACCAATTTTCGTGGATGGAGGAAAATTATTTATCTGTTGATACTAGTATATGATTTTGTGGATTTTCAAAAGTCGGAATAAACACCTGTAGAAAAATGTATACTTCGTTGAACACTTAAAATCTCGGTTTTCCACGAAAATTGATACCCCACAAATTATAATAGTCCACCGTAGCCAGTAGTATTACTATTTGTTATATTGTACAACGCATTGTTTCGTAACAATGAGATTCTAACTGTAATTATGCATAGCAATGTGATAGTTATTGTTATTCAAGAAGAAATGTAAACAATAATGATGAATAAAAATACCTTGTCGAAATTATCTGTCATGGCAACTTGAAGTTTTGGTGATGACACAAATTCTGATGGTTCTGCGTGGCGTAGTTTTGCTTGTGACGGACGTGGTGGTGGTAAAATATCATAATCAGGGACACTTGATGCCTGCCTTTTTGCTTCCAACTTTAACTGAATACATGTTACAAGTTCGGATACGGATTTCTCAGTCTGTTTGGTCTCAAAGTATTTCCATTTACTTATTGTTTTGTAGTTATGTTTAGCAAATGAAAGTTTAAGCTCATCCTGGTCAACTCCTAGTAATACCATTACGGAATCATCAGCCTTAATCGCTGTAATCCTGTCCGTTTCTAATATATCTAGAATGGCCGGTGTTGCCAGTACAACATTAACTGCATACACTGATTGTGTGTGATCATTTTCTAAACCTTCTAAACTGGAAGAAATTCCAATTGCAGCGAGTTTCACTTGCAAGAAATTTGCCCAGTCTTTTCCATCGGAGAATACACAAAAAATGCCAACATCTGAAAACTCCATGTCTGCATTGATTTACCTGTCCCTGAGACCTGTCCACAGTCAACGTTATGAAACTGAAAATACTCCACTATATTATTCGTTTAAGGAGAAATATACTTTTACGTGTTGTTTCTACCTATTCCCAAAACGGAGAAAAATAAAAGTCCCTTCACGTGTTGGCTTTATCTATTCTCAAAACACGGAAGTAATATCGTCTTCCCTGTTGAAATGGAGCATCAATTTCCAACTACGTGTTAACGGGAAATTTCACTTGGTTTTATGTCAGATTTATATGTTACTATGATACCTGGTCAAAAGGTAACATGTTTATATATTTAACATATAAAACACTTTCATTTGGACATTCAATCTGTGTACAACGCAAAATTTTAAATGTCAGAGCATGTGCCCTTTTACAAATAAGGAAATATTAACTAATCTTTTGATACTATTTCGTATCAAATCACTAGTATTAAAGTCATCTAACATTCCTTAAATTTTATAACAGGAAGTCATATTGAATATGGTTTATAATTACGGTAAATTTTGAAGAACGTTAAAAGTAATTGATTGATAACATGGACACAATCAACCATAACAAATGCGAAGCAGTAAATAATATTATAATAGATGTACTAAAAACCGTTTACAGTCTCGACCGCATGTCATTTAAATGTACTATTCGTTCCACACTATTAGCCACCCCTGCATTCGGTTTGTCTGAACTATTTATCATGCAGTCACAAGAAAAGTTATTCAGTTTACTGAATTGATTTATATTATATTTTTTCAAGGATATATGTTTGCAAAATCAAGAAATTCCTAATTTATATTTGTAGTTTTGTATGAAATCAGAAGTGAAAAGCATTTTGGAATACCGATTTGCATTCTAAATGCATATTAATTACTGTCATAAATGTATAAGAGGGATATGCACTTCTTAGAAAAAGAGTATTGAATAAAGTCTTCACTCTGAATATTAATAGATATGATCCTGAAAGAAAAGTAACGGTGAACAAATATTTCGATTGGATAGTGAATGCAAATAAATACAATTTAAATTCAAAATCTGTTATAAATCGGCAATATTTCCTAAAGGCGGAACAAATCAGAAAAAAATGTGTTTGTGAAAATGAATATTAATTCCACAATACTATTGCGCACTAAGGTAACGAAGTAATGCAGTACTTTTATATAAAAAAAAAAAAAAACAAGACAACACGAAAGGCGACACATAACCCTATGCGAATTATTGAAAACAAACACGTTTTACAATCAATTATGATCACAATTCCATATGTCATAATACAATTGAAACTAAAACGTTAGTGTGTCAGATAGTACAGAAAAATGCTATTGATATTTCCTAGAAAAGGTTCATGCTATTTAAGAGAAGATAAGAGTTTTAGCAATACTTGATCGGGCGAAGGACGTGGGAGATTTTTTTTAACATGTTACACAAAGGACAATTGCGCTCGAAAAAGTATAGACAATTGCGCGTAAAATTTTATGAAATATTCTGAATTGACCGGACATTTGCGCTGTGTATCTGTAATCATGGTTGTTTTTTTTTCTTCAAGAGGATGACGTTTAAAATATGACTTTTTTCTATAGACAAAAAGAATTGTACTATTACTGGAAGTGTATAAGAAAAGAATCTAATTACGTTAATGAAAGGGTGGCAGAAAAAGGCATGAAACTAAAACAATTTAACTACGAATACCAGAAAGGCGCTGTGGATTGGCTTTGATATGGATATTTATTGATTTTAAAACTTTAAGGATGTATTCTTCTGACGTTTCAGTCTCGTTGAAATCTCGTTCTCAAATTATTTCCAAAACATGTGATACAAGTGGAAAATATCAATGAATTTTAAAAATGTTATAATCAAACTCAACTCTGTGAAAAAATTTGTATTTACAATGAGTAGTTTTTGAGTAATCAATTTTTCAAATTTTATTACCGATCAAGTCAGTCTTTTTAGCCAAAATTTTGAGAAAATGGGTTAGGGGAACAAGAAATGATTTTACCAGAAACATATACATCCCATATCACTTTTTTCTTTTCAAATTTCTTAGATATGTATTTTTTCAATCATTTATAACAAAGAAGTTGAAATGATATGCATTTTGTTCTTAAAACAGAGAAAAGTCACAAATTTACAAAATTGACAGCATGGTAAATTTGACACAAAAAAGCATCAAAATATGATAAAACTTTCTTATATTATCACCTACCTAAAGTTTTTTTTAAGTTAAATTTATTCAGATTGGTCCAACTCATCTTTATAGAAAGTATCAAAGAAAGTTTAATTGTGGAACTGTGATATTTTTCACGATAATAGCCCCAAAACGTAAAAATTGATGAAAAATGGGAAAATCATCAAAATTGGGTACTTTCAAAGGGCCGTAGCAAAAAAAGAAGTGCTTCACCATATGATTTTTCTTCACCAATTATATTTTACATTCATATAAACCCAAAAATCAGGTTAAGAAAAAAAGTTTAATTCTAGAAATTTTTGGCTCCTCAGAGGTGTACATCCTTAAACAATATAAATTTAATAAGAAATCTTTAGACATAATCATCAGATAATTAGAGTTCTTTTAACAATTTGTATGCTTTTTATACATTCATACTTTTTATTGCTTGAAGTGTAATTGTGATCACTTAAAAGAACGTTAATGAAATTTTTAGGTTTTTTTTTCATTTAACTGATCACCACATCATTTTCTACAAGTGCTATCAAATTTTCGTTCTGTATTTGGCCTTTTCATTTTTTTAAGCTCCTTAACTTCCCTTTTTTTATTCGAGCGTCACTTATGTGTCTTTTGTAGACGAAACGCGCGTCTGGCGTACAAAATTTTAATCCTGGTATCTATGATGAGTTTATTTACTTAATGCAAAATAAATCTAAAACTGATGTATAAATATGATAAAGTTAATAGCAGCAGTTCTTGTCTCTTCAGTCATGCTAAAAATATTTAAAGTCTAAAACCCGATACAAACGTTGAAGAGATGATAAAACCAAACACTGGACCAAAATTGAATCCAGACCCTGATAAGGAATCAGATCTCTGCACAAGCGGGATACATTCCTTAATTTAAAATGGTTTCGAACATTTTATAACAGAACATTTCATTTACACAATATCCATATTTCCATGCCATTACCGAAGTTCTGGCTACTGGGCCGGTGATACACTCAGTGAAAAACAGTGCACAAGCAGATGTATCGACCCAGTGGTAGGTTCCAATTTTACTACACCAGATGTGCATTTCGACAATTACTGTCTCTTCAGTGATGCTCAAGTATAAAGAATTTGAAAGTCCAAACCCTAATGAAAGAATTGGACAGCTGATAAAAAAGAACCAAAAGTAAAATCAAACCCGGAAAGAAATCAGAACTATGTAAAACTTTCATGGTCATACACAGCATTTATTAATGGAAGCTTTACTATATATTCTTTTAATTGATTTGAGTGAGTGATCTCTTAAAAGGAACGTGAATGAATGTTTTGTATGTTATTTTATTTAATTGACCACCATTTCATTTTCTGCACTAGATGTTTTAACAAAAGTAAGCCTACTTCAAGCAAAACTAATACTTATAGTTCTATATACCCAGAGGAAAAATAAACAGCATGTATATACAGAAGTATTACTTCCATGGTTTGAATATCTAGACCCGTTTTCATGCAATTTATAATGAAACAAGTACATCAATGAAATGTTCTATTTTCCTTTTTTATATTTCTTTGGAGAGAACAAAATGCGAGATGATAAGACCACCAGCGTCGCACCTAGCCGAAACAATTAGTGTCTTCATATATCATGCTTAAAGTATAATTAAAGAAAACTGCAAGCGGGAGGGGAGTCTGGGATCTCCTGGAAATAGTGTGAGTTCGTGGTCTAATGGTTAAGACCGATGGCTACAGTGCTGAAGGTCCCGAGTTCGATTCTCACTCGGGGTGCTAAAAAATATCAGTAAACCAGAAGGGTAATTTTCACCCTCTCACACACATCTCTGGTACCCAGACCGGAGTTTAAACTAGAATGGGTACTTTGGGGGCTTCGGTTGGTCAAAGTTGTCCCCTACTTTGACCTGGAGATCAATCTTCTGATATCTCCCTGGTTTGTCTGTTTCCGCCGAGTGGCCCGGTGGTTCTCTCCGAGTACTTCGGCTTCCTCCACCGTAATAACAGAATTCCCGGTGTCCTAGCACTCCCTTTGTGTTGGGTGGGGATTGATCGTCCTTGTAAAAATAATTGTCGTATAAATATACGTTAGTGACACGTCTCCATTAATCCCGATAGGGAGTGTACATGGATGCCACTGTACCCTCGCAGCTTTAGAGGGGTTCTTCGGATAACGCAGGCATTTACCAGTACATACATACATACACAGAGGAAAAATAAACAGCATGTATATACAGAAGTATTACTTCCATAGTGTGAATATCTAGACCCGTTTTCATGCAATTTATAATGAAACAAGAACATCAATGAAATGTTCTATTTTCATTTTTATATTTCTTTGGAGAGAAAATTGGTTAATTATTCAATAAAAATGCTAGATGATAAGACCACCAGCGTCGTACCTAGCCGAAACAATTAGTGTCTTCATATATCATGCTTAAAGTATAATTAAAGAAAACTGCAAGCGGGAGGGGAGTTATACCCCTAGGGAGGAAAAATCAGTTGCATCGACAGAGTGGTTGTTTATTTAATAAACTTATCAAAGATGAATAAAAAGTTCAAACGCTAAATAAGTATCAGTATCCAACTAGACAATTTAATTTACCAACGAACGTGTCTCTTGCGCGGTAGGTCGTGGGTTCGAACCCCGATTTTTTGTGTTAATTTACAAATTGTGTCCCAATGTCTGTTAATGCATGCATAGAAAGAGATGCTTACCCTGTCGACACACGTTGACTCGTTTACTTCCATCGTGTATTTCTCTTGATTTGTATCTTCAAATATGGATTTTCTCCAAAAGTGATAATCATTTCATTTACGCGTAGGACTAAATAAAGGCAACAGTAGTATACCGCTGTTCGAAACTCATAAATCGATAGCGATAAAAACAAATCCGGGTTACAAACTAAAACTGAGGGAAACGCATCAAATATAAGAGGAGAACAACGACACAACAAAAACACAACATCAAAATGTAACACACACAGAAACGAACTATAATATAACAATGACCTACAACTGACTGACTCTTCTGGATAAGTTTAACATATACTGTATGTCATGTACAGTAATATTTCTCCTGCGGATAGTTTATACCTTTGAGCTCAAAGGTGAAAATTCAGTTCGGCGTGTCATTATAGTATAATTTGGACAGTTTTTGAATCATATCGAATAATTCCATGTTTCCGGCCGCCACCGCCGTTACTCACTGATGAGTCTTTTATAGACGAAACGCGCGTACACAATTTCAATCCTGGTATCCATGACGAGTTCATTTACGTAAGAT